TGTAGTCAATCATAATAACAAATGTACGTGATAACTGTAGTTCGTAAATATTTACGAACGTTGTGCTGAAAAACATCTAAAATCTAAAAATAATCATGGAATTATATATTTTGCTTCAACATTGTGACGTCATTATTTGATGACGTCATGAAGATAAGAGCATGAAGTTACGCGGCAAAAATCAGTAAAATGGTGTAAAAATCGTTAAAAAATCATGAAATAAACAGAAAATTTGTTTGTTTTACATGTAAGATCAAATAATATTTCACTCGTGAACCCCAGCTATTATATTTTCACTCGTGGCTACGCCACTCGTGGAAAATATTGCATCTGGTGTTCACTCGGTGAAATATTTTTCGATCTTACACTGAAACAAACAAATATCCTCTATGTATTTTCGTGTTGTTGACAGGCGCCACGCTGAACGAAAATATGGCATGGCATAAAACAACCACCATAACAGAATCTGGCTTTATACTGGTGCAAAAGACTAATAGCTTTTGGCTATGTTTTGGGTTGAGACATTCATATTTTTTTTTTAATTTTAAGCGTAAGCCCCGCTTTAATATAACAGTCAAAATGATTCCTATCGGCTACAAAGCACGTGCATAAAGTGAATTTTTAATTCTATTTTCAATGTGCAATTTCAAATGTAAACAATGACATCCGACTTTATATTGTGACGTTTAAGGTTCGTTTTTTTTTGTCAGATGACTCAATGTCTGTAGCCGCGTTTGTTTAACACGCCCTTCTACCAGGAAGTAAACCCTTCAATAACGACTTCGTAACAGCAAACATTTATGGTAATCTACTTTTCGTATCGTTAAATCAATGGCGGGTTTCTGTCGGTGCAAATACGTTTCTTTTTGTATAGTTTGTGATGCGTATTATTGTATGTTGTCATGTTACGGCGTAATTTATGAATTGATGAACATCATTACTATCATTTGAGCCGCGTCACGACAAAACCAACATAATGGGTTTGCGACCAGCATGGATCCAGACCAGCCTGCGCACCCGCGCAGTCTGATCAGGATCCATGCTGTTCGCTTGCAAACCGTATAACAAGTAGAGAAACTGATAGCGAACAGCACGGATGCGCAGGCTGGTCTGGATCCATGCTGGTCGCAAACCCATTATGTTGGTTTTGTCGTGACATGGCTCATTTATTATTTGCACGCGACCACTCCTGTAAAGCTCACACCTTAAGTAGTTTTTTATAACTACAAGGTAGTCAGGTAATATGTTTTCGAAATAATCTGAATAATGCGGTACATGGTGAAAAAAAATGATGTTCTAATCTAAATCCTGTATTTATGTTTATGTTAAAATTACCATATTTGGTGTCAGAATTGCAAACTAAAGTTAAAGTTGTGTTGTAGTTGTGTTTTTTTTGTTTTGTTTTGTTGTTTTGGTGTTGTTGTTTTTTTCGAAAAAAAAAAAGAGAAGATAATTCGCCATTTATTGTCACATCAGCGTTGTTTGTTCCATGTGGCGGCCGGAAAAATCCTCCCCTTACATTCACTTTCTGTCAGAGATGTTTTATTTTTCTGTCCTTATGACCATACTTACTAAGTTACTATTATAAGACAATGTATACTGAAAATATTTAATTAAAATGTTAATTAACCCACTTCATAGAAGAGATTATTTGTCGTTTCTAGGCTTGTTTTTAGTTATAATATTTGATTTGGCGAATTTGGCAAATATGTCCGAAATGTTCGTGCATTTGTATCACATTTCAGATACATGTGTAAATAGCTTTATAAGTGTATCATACAGTATATGTAAGACATATTTATTCACAAGATTAATATATTTGTACATCATGAATCCATGTATATTTTAGAGCCCACAACTTACGTAGCATTTTTCTATTCTGATAAATATATACGACGTATAATAATAATAATAATAATGAAAACGATTGAAAACATTTATGGCTTGAAACGCAAAACAAGTAACTGTTTTTTTTATTATAATTATTTTGACAACACTAAACAAACTTTCATAGAGATAACTATAGGCCCTATCGATTTTAAGAATTAAAAGTTCAAATGTATATTTGTTTTTTTTATTCAATATAATTCATTGAATATATAATTGATATTCCATTTACGTATACATGTATATATACATTTGACTGATAACTTAAATAACCAAGAAAACTAGCATACCCCACGTGTTTTAATACTTTTATTTATTTATTTATTTATTTATTATTATTATTATTATTATTAATATATTTATTTATTATTATTTTTATTCAAATTTAGAACGTCTTATTGTCATTGTCGCCAAGGAAAAAAAACACACACATTTTTTTTTCGCACGGAACAAAGGAAATGAGTTTTAGCGAAGCCGGAAGTAAAAGCTGTATGTTATCGTACTATTAGATCTTGTGTATTGCGGAAGTTAATTAGATTACAGTTTATTGATCAACACTGATACATACATGACGGGTATCTGCCTGCCGTGGTAATTTTTAAAATGAGATTTATTTGTGAGCACTTGAGAATGTTTGTTTCTGAGTATAATTTCCTGTGCCGTTATATGATATTTAACGAACAAAAGGTAAAATGAAATATTTCCTTTGAAATATGTCCCTGTCATGAAATTTAACTCTATTGAAAATATCCGTCTTTTTCAAAAAGGGTTCTGCTTGATTGTTTTGTTGTAGTATTTTTTTGGTGTAGTTATACATTTTTTTTCCACTGTAATTATGTATGAGTTCCGGTGTTGTTGTTTTTTTTGCTTCTATAAAGATAGCAGGGGCCGTTTTAGGGTATCATTCCCGCGCAAAAATTCTTTACGATCATGCAGTCTTTCTTTGGAATTCAATTTACACCAAGTTTATATTTCCATTTGCAAACATATATCGTATTTTTCCCCCGAGGGAAGACTCCTACCTGTAAATACTTAGACACATTATGCCCAAGAAATGAATATATTTTCCTTCTCAAAAAGGGCAAACGTAAGTTTTATAACATTGAAATAAAGGTTTTCGATATTGTGAGATGCTTTTCACCTGAATAAAGTAGTACTTAATGTGAATTATAATTCAAAAAAGAAAGGAAATAGAGATTCCATATCTTAAAACTTTTTACCCAAAAGCAAATGGGAAGGCAAAAAGGTTTGGGTGGCCAAAATTTGTCTTTTCTTTTGGAAATAATAAATTTCTTCCAGCAGGTTTCTGATAATGACTAAACTTATATGAAGGGGACGATTTTCAAACACCTAAAAAGTGTGCGGGTTTCCAACATGAAATATTAAAATTTTTTAAAATGGCACCCCTTTTTTGATCAAGGATTAATTTTGGCTTTTTTCCGGTATAAGAGTTTCCTCTACCCAAATAGGTTTTTAGCATAACCATGGATCCTGATCAGACTGCGCGGATGCGCAGGCTGGTCTGGATCCATGCTGGTCGCAAACCCACTATGTTGGTTTTGTCGTGACGCGGCTCAATTATATTTTATCCAATCTTTTGTCCGTCTGTCTCTGCGTTTTTCCCCAGTTGTTTCCTGATATTTAAAACCATAATAAGGAAGTGCTTAAAGAATTATTCCAGTCTTATCTATAGCTAACATAAATATGACCTCAAATAAAAGCAGATACAAAATTAATTTAACTTTTTTTTCTCGATAAAGAATTTATCGATTTTAATAACGCTATTCCAACCAGGAAGTTCGGGCAAAAATGACGTGTTTTTTTTTTGCAGATTGCAAACAAATCGGATGACGGCATTTTGAAAAGCGGTGTCGTCTTACTGCTATATATGAAAATTCTTCCTGGTCCAATTTTAGTTTAATGATAACTATTTTATATACAGGGCTGGAACATTTTCATAATAATTGCGAATTATAATTAATATAGAAGTGTTTGATATTGGCATACCATGTGCAAAATTATACTGAAACAAAAACAATGTGAGTTAATAATTATGTTATATTTATCAAATTTTGTTTTGAAAAAAAAAAGAAGAAATATTTTGAAACTGAATTGAACGAAACGGATTTTTTTTAAAAATTGTTTTAATGTAAATTAAGATATTGTGCAGAAGTTACAATGTCATTTATGAAATGCGCGCACTTTACTGACATTTTTTTGTATTGTTTAAATATTTATATATTGTTCAGAAATTAATTACAATATCTATCATTTATGAAAACTAAAATGTTATATATTTGCAGGAATTTATGATGATGTATATATATTTAGCGTGCTGTACCGCTTTAAAATTTTACATATAATTACGACGAGACAACTTAAATTGCTAGCAATTATTACTGGTTGAAGTATCTCTTTTTTTTACATGAGAAAATGTTGTCTTGTGTTGCCCTATCAAGGATGCGGTCGAATTTTATATCGGTTGTTTTTATTACATACTATATATGTATGTATTCAGTAAGCTTCCTGTTTGGTTGGTTATACATGTATTAACTTACGAGATATACATGAGATGTACATGTATATATCAAACTGATACAAGTAACATGTTGACATAAATCTACTCTACATCTACATTACTATCAAAAGTTTATTTGGAGGTCTGCATCTATGGGTTTCTTTTTTATAATAATCTTGTTGCCCGGCAAATTTGAGTTTTTTTCTTAATTTGACAAAAAAAGTTGAACTAATTGTTCTTTGTATGTTTACAGTAATAATGATACGAATTTAATTAAATAAACTTGCAATACATCATACAGTGATTGGGAGTAATCGATGACTGTTAAATAACTTAAAATAAATTATTCCATGTCAACCCATTTGCTCTGAGCACGCTCATCATGTTTCCATAATTCATTACTGCTTCTTTTTCCCCAATAATCCACTATTAAAATACTATTTACAAAAGCCTTTTTTTTTCAAACTTGAACTCTGTTTAAATCTACACGTATAATATATTTTTTTGCTTAATAAACTATTTATATGTAAATTACTATTATTCTTAAAGTGGTATATTATATTTATTTTTAGAACCAGATTATTTCTATTTTTAGAATCAGGAACCGATCATACCTCAGACATGGATCTCAGCCAAGGGTCGCTGGACCTCTCACGAACAGGACCATATTACAAAACTCCCACCATTCCACCACCGCCACTCACCATGCGACCACCACAAAACCAATCCCCCATATCACCGGCATCGAACGGCCAAATCAATGGATGTTTAGACCTCAGTCGGAGCTCGAACTCTACACCGACTTCGTACTTGCATTACAGCGGTGGCACCTCTATAAATCTGAGTCCGGGTGGCACAACCGAACAGACGGCTTATTATCAATTGCCGAGAATAAAACTTGAACCTGGACTAGGAATAGGTAGGTGATATTTGTTCAATAACACACGATGCGTCTACATATCTGCAAGCAATTTAAAAATAATACAAAAGAATGTATATGAATATATTCATATAGCATACATTCGCAGAATTACTTAATAAATGCAACTTAACGAAATATAAGTACGTTCTGTTAAAAAGTGAGGTTGCAAGAGCTTATTCGTTTGTCGCTATAATGAAAACCCTACTTTTATCGTTTGATGCTTATTTAGACCAGTCAAAAATGCAAAATAAAGTTGCACAGGTTTGCGTCTTTTCAATTTAAAATATATTCTATTCCCTTTCAGACTACTGGATCACAACTTGTCAATAGTTTCATTGTTTATTTTCTCCCCATATTGTTATTTATTATTGTTAGGCTTAACTATAATTATTATTTCCTTTTTTCAGATCCAACCATAACTTACAAACCGGAAATGGATTTTAATCACAATGAACACATGACGTCATCAACGACGTCAATACCAGTGCCTTCTCAACCAGCTTATGGTTTGACTTACGAACAAAATATTAATGATAGAATTAAGACCGAGGAACAAATGGACATTGGTTGTGAGGAAGTATCACGTGATACGTCACGTGACATGTCTGAACCCCGTGTAACTGTTGAAACAATAAATTCAAATTGTATCCCGTTAACTGTGACGTCGCCTGATGACGAAAATGACAGTGGTACGGAAAGTATAGATTCAAAGGATTCTGACGCTTGCAGCAATCTGAATATAAATGAAAACGGAACCAGTCAAAAATCAGATAGAAAACGCCCGGGCAGGAAAAAGGGTCAAGGTATGTCCTTCTATAAATTTATTTATTTATTTATTTATTTATTTATTTATTTATGATACTTGACGAAAGTTATGAGTTATTAACATCATCAGATTATGAAAGTGGTTCTATTACTTTTGCAGATACTTGAAGCTGTTAAAGATTATGTTGAACATTTTGACAAGTTAGAAAATTGTTCTTGTAGATCTAATCTATTTCTAGACAGTAAATCTTGAATCATTATTTTATTTTTAAAATTTAAATAGTAGTGGAAATGTGTCAGCAAGTCCTGACATTCATGAAGTAGTAGTTAAACGACATTAACAACTGGTGATGGTCATTGACGTGAATTACGTGCATTTTTAATAATCTCCTTTTCAGTATCAAAAGTTTATCACTTGTGGGAGTTCATACGTGATGTACTGAATGACCCCAGATATTGCGGGAAGGTAATTAAATGGGAGAACGAGGAGGAGGGAATTTTCCGGGTTGTCCAGTCGGAAACCGCAGCGTCCATGTGGGGCCAGAAGAAGAACAACCGAACAAAAATGACATATGAAAAAATGAGCAGATCTATCAGGTAAATAAAATAGAATAAATCTGTATTAACTTCCGGTTACTAATATACTTATAAAAACGACAACAACAAAACAACAACAAAAACATTTGAATTGTTTATGTTTAAAGGCTCAAGTTGTTTTCTATGGTATTTTGGGTTTACTTCCTATATACATGATTTTGATATATAAGGTTATTCTCCAATATGGCTTTTGTGGTTATTATTTTATAGTATTTGTGGTTATTTGCTTATATTTAAAGCGGAAATAATGATTTATTTTTAGCGTTTCTTAGTTACAATGACGTTTAGTGCATACGTTTTGTAACGACGTTATAATTTGTGTTTGAAGCTGAAGATTGAATGAGAATTTAGTTTTCTCAAATTGCTTTCATAAAGTACATACATTAATTGAGCCGTGTCACGACAAAACCAACATAATGGGTTTGCGACCAGCATCCGCGCAGTCTGATCAGGATACATGCTGTTCGCTGTCAGTTTCTCTACTTGTTATAGGGTTTGTAAGCGAACAGCATGGACCCTGATCATACTGCGCGGAAGCGCAGGCTGGTCTGGATCCATGCTGGTCGCAAAGCCATTATGTTGGTTTTGTCATGACGCGACTCTTTTATGTGTTCATGTTTGAAAGAAGAAGTAAGTTTTATCAGTTTAAAAATTCCATAAGAGTAAATATATTTACCGATCTCTAAATACTAACAAGATAAAAAGTAGACTTTATTGCGTTAGTCACTCAGTAGAACTATGAAGGCCTTCAGCTTTAACAAAGTTTTATATATTTATTTGAAAGCCGAGAGTTAAACGCCAGTCAATTATGTTAAAGTAATGTGTTATTTGAATATACTTATCTCTATGTTACATTTGTTATGCCGCCTTTAAATTGATATGCCACCTTTAAAAAAGTAAATAAAGTTAAAAATAATATACGCACGGAAATCACAAAAGCATTCAAAGTTTTTAGTCTATATACATGCATGTACACCATTTAACCCCCCCCCCCCTCAACGGGTTATCTCCATGTTTGGAAAACATTTATATATCTCAGTTATATATACTTCCTTTTAGACGCATATTGTAATGGGTTAAGATACAATACACCTTTTGTGCATATTTGGCAAACACAAGTAGTTTGTTTGTGCAATAGTTAAGTATATAAAGAATATTGACTAAATGTATATACTCAACTTAAATATACATAAGAGCCGCGTCACGACAAATCCAACATAATGGGTTTGCGACCAGCATGGATCCAGACCAGCCTGTCTGATCAGGATCCATGCTGTTCGATATCAGTTTCTTTACTTGTTATAGGGTTTGTAAGCGAACAGCATGGGTCCTGATCAGACTGCGCGGATGCGCAGGCTGGTCTGGATCCATGCTGGTCGCAAACCCATAATGTTGGTTTTGTCGTGACGTGGCTCATAACTTAATTAATCAGTTACTTGTAAATGCGCGGGTTAGTTACATTCAAAAAGACTCCATGTTTAAACAGTGTGTTATGATAGCTTAGTCTGAGCTTGTAAATTTATGTTTTAAAGATACAGTTAATTAATCCTTTTCTAGGCCATAATTTTGACTGCGTATTTAACGTTAAGGCGTACAGAATTAGCATATTCAGGTTTTAAGTCTAATTTTCGTTTAAAATGCAAGCCATATGTCGCCAATATGAAGAATGAGATAGACCGAAAGAGAAATCTTAGATTTGTGGATATATTTCAATGTGTATATATCGCTTTATAAAACTTCCTTAAATTATATAACAGCGCGAAGATACTTGTCCTATAAGAAAGGAAAAATATCTATATTGAAATCATCGACCCAGCTTAACATACGCTTGTAATTCAATACTATATAGCGGCATGATAGAGTTCTCTTTAAAAGTGTAGTAATCAACGTTATCCGGATGTTTATCATTGTTAAATCTCTTGACCTCGTTCTGTTACAAAGTTAAGGCGAACGATCACGCTAAGACTAAATATTATTGTACAAAGTAGTGTGTTTTTTTCGTTTTGAGTTACGTTTTAATTTTTTGTGTGTGCGTTTTTGTTTTTGTTCATTTTACAAAATTTTAATGTTTGTCAAGAAAGTTAAATTATAAAAGTAAATCGTAATGCATGTCTCCGATCTCATTCATATGGTGGCTGATTTGGTACGCTTTTGTGCGTCTAGTTGGCGCTAGCGACAACACGACAAAGCGCCAAACGGCGCGTTGTCGCATTGTCGTCTAGTCGTCCTGTCTCTAGCGAAGCACGCCAAACGGCGCGTTGTCGTGCGGCGCGTTGTCGCCCTGTCGCTTGACTTATAAGCCAATCCTTCGATTTGAACCGAGCGACAATGTGACATCGCGACAACACGCCGCACGACAACGCGCCTTTTGGCGTGCATCGTTAGCGACAGGACGACGAGACAAAAGTCCGACAACGCGCTGTTTGGCGCTTTGTCGTGTTGTCGATTGCGCCAACTAGACGCACAAAAGCCTACCAAAAAGCGTACCAAATCAGCCACCATACATTCATGTTCTTGTTTAAGAGTTGTCTTTGTACCGTCTTATTTTGTTACGTACATGTAATTTGTTAATGGAAACAAAAAAATAACGCAACATTTAATTGTACTTGTGTTAAAGTTTATGTAGCGCGAAATGAACATCACGCCCGTAATATGTAAATTCCATCACATAAATATAAAGTTATTATTTAATGTCACGTCGCTCCATTAATGTAACTGTTAGATGTACACTGTACTAAATGTGTAGAAATATGTCTACATATATAAATACACAATAAAAATGACAGATGTAAATACAGTAAACTTCACTTATAGCGGACACGGTTATAGCGAACTTCCAGTTATAAGGAACAATTGGTTTGTTTTGGCCCAAATTTTGTCTTTCTTAATTTAATATAAAAATACGGTTATAGCGAACATGGCTATAAGGAATTATCGCTTATAGAAATGTTTACATGTATAAGTTTTTCGGAATATTTATTCTCACAACAGCTTGATCTAAACAAAGGGTTGGACTACTTTTCTGGCCCTTCCCAAAATACTAAGGATTCTGTTTAAACCGATGCTATGGTCTGGAGGAATGTTATAAATTCTAGTTATATCTGTAATAACCAGATTTCCAAAGTTTCTAAAATCTTTTCATGTAGTTTATACACGTGACAATTTGGCAACAGGGTTCATATTTTGTCATACTGTATCCAAATGTATCGCACAACAGTTTTTGACCTCATATCTTACATTATCAAATTGTTTTCTGTAAGTATACCCCTTTCTTTCGATAATCTTGCAAGGAAATAACGTTCATCTTTCTAATCATGATATATCTTCAATTTACAGAAATTTAAATAGGTTCTTAAAGTTGACTTGTTTCATTGAAACCCAACGCAATTTATTTTTACATTGCAGGTACTCTAGAAAGGAAGGCTATTTTGATGACTTGCCGAAGGACAAAGGATATCCGAAGAAACTGTGTTTTAAATTTGGAAAGAAAGCGCATGGTTGGAACTCGAACAGAAAACCTCCACCAATGGCGCACAATAACTGCGTACCGTCGACAATTTAAAGAGTTTTCTATATCACTTCGAAAACTTTAAAACATAGATAAATAGATAAATTAAGTGCACTTACGGTTGGCATTGAGCCTATTTTTTTGGGAAAGAAATTTCTATATGTCACGTAGGAATATAGAAAATAAAATGGCTAGAATGTAGTTCTCGTGATATCAAACCGTAGTGTGTGTGGGGTTGTAGTTTTGAAAGCTATTCCTTAAGCGATCTCAAGACATTCCATGGAGTTTTTGTTTTCAAATGTGACCCTCAGCGCTGACTGTTGCCTGGATACCTGCCTCTAATGCCGTGATTGTTAAATTCGAAGTATATTTGACAGGGAACCAGACGACAATGACTATTTCTCATTCGGATGAGTTCGGACAAGTCGTTGTGTGAAAAGTTGCGTAGGATTTTGCATCCGGAAATTGTATTTTTGGATATATTTGGACAGTTTGGAGTGTTTGGTGAAAAGTGACACATTTTTTTGTACATTTTATGATTGTATTTCAAATCAAACCATCACAATTATGTTACATAATATGCCATGCACATTTTGATATGGGTGTAGGCATATTGAAAAATGTTGTCTGTGCTTTTATGTATATATACATATAAATATATTTTGTATACAGATGTAATTTAGCTGGAATTAGATGGCTGATTTTATTTTTACATTAACATTATAAAAAATTAAATGTCAAGACTTTTTCAATATGTGATATCTTTTTTATGTATTTATATATGCACATTTGTTTAATGTCTTCAAACATGTAGAACATGGGTGGAGTGTAATCGAGGTTTTTATAAAGTTTTATTAAGGGTGATTAGATATTCACGTAGTAAATTACATGTGCAGCCTTTAATTTATGCAACATTCTTCATATGCAAAATAGTGTTGTTTTTTTTCTTTTGTTACACTGTTTTTTCTGTTTAAGATTGTACCAGCCCCCCCCCCACCGCTCGCGCATCAAATGATCGGATAATGGTAATTCCTCGCGAGAGAAAGCCGTTTATGTTTAGATAGAAAGGCCATTTTCACGAATGTTATTAAATGTTTAAGTCAATTTTTTAATTATTTTGAAAGTCAATCTATTTATAGAGTCCGGTTACCATCTGCACACTTTTCACGAATGTTATTAAACGTTAAAGTCATTTTTTAAAAAATAATTTGTACTTTAATCTATTTATATGTTGAGGAAGGTTCCGTACTTTATATTTGTTCGAAGAAATGTTGTTAAAGCTGTACAATAAATGTTGTACAGGCCTTGAATTAAGATTTTATCGTTTTGTCAATAAGTTTTAGATATAAGTGTGGGCTTTATGAACGTTCAAGTGACAAAATCACAACTTGATTATTACTTGAACATGTGACTAATTATAGAACACTTACAGTTGCCAGAAGTTATCTTAATTGTTTAAGAAATAACGATGTTAAGCTATTCGATACTTACAAATTTCAGTCTAAACATATATAAAAGGCTTAATCGGAGATTACACTATGTCCGAAATAAGAACTATGACCGGACCGAGGGCTTTTGTCCAGTACTCGGATTATGAACGTGTAGATCTGGGTCTTTGTCCGGTTCTCGGGCCAATGCCGGATGGCGAAAACTCAAGCTAGGTCTTGAACACGGGCTAGGTTTAAGATCTCGGGCTCTGTCCGGATTTCGGCATTTGTGCTGTTTTCATACAACATAATTAAGTGCTATCTGTTGAAATTCTATTAAAGGATTGTGTTTAAATTATATACTACAAGTACATTTGAATTGTATCATATTCTCATATCTGTTTTTAAATGAAACGATTTTATGTTATATTTAAATGTTTTAACAATTTCTCTAATTTCTTAACCGTTAGAATAATTTGAGAGCATTTATATCAAATTATTTGAACAACATATATTCTACTGTTAATAAACTATTTTAAAGATATCGAAAACGCGTTGTTCTTTCTTACAGTAAAGGTATTAGATTTTGACCGGAATTGGTATTAGTGAAATACATTTTATTGTCTGAAGTTGCCACACGGTTCTGCTGGAGTCCATACACTCAGTGCCTAAAAGGACGGATAGAGCCTTACTAAGCTAAGAAAACACGCACGGTCCTGCTAAAACACAACTTATGATCACCCTTTGGAGTCTTTCTCTCAGCTAACTGCAGCCACGGAATTATGTCGCCATTTCAGGTGCACAAGTACACGTGCATGAAGTGAGGAAATGTAGAGTGAAGGAAATTTTCAGTGTCTTTAATGGGTCTCGAACTCGGGGACACTCTCGACCCTGATGTGTTTGATATATATATATATATACTACTGAAAGACTGCTCCTGTCTTGGAAATTGTTTCTTATAGAATTAATACAGAACCAGAATTGTAATTATTTTCCTGGTTGCATTTAAATCAGCATATGTGTTATCAATGTTAGGCAATAATTCTAAGCAAGTTTACATATGCCAGCATATTACGGTCACATATACGAGTATATCACATATTTAGCCAGCTTATGTATCGTAATTTATGCATGCCCATTTAACGTTAGATGGACATTTTGCTTATTTTTTTATTTTCAAGATGAGCTGGATTGACTCTATATGAGCCACGTCACGTCAAAACCAACATAATGGGTTTGCGACCAGCATGGATCCAGACCAGCCTGCGCATCCGCGCAGTCTGATTAGGATCCATGCTGTTCGCTTACAAACCATATAACAAATAGAGAAACTAATAGCGAACAGCATGGATCCTGATCAGACTGCGCGGATGCGCAGGCTGGTCTGGATCTATGCTGGTCGCAAACCCATGATGTTTGTTTTGTCGTGACGCGGCTCATATTTCAAAAGATTGACAATTGTAATGATGAATGACCTACAGTTAATATTTGAAACCGTTTAAAATGAAATATTAAACTGCCTATGATATTAAAAGACTTTCCTACTCTTTTTATTAATTGAAAAGTACATGTAATATAAATTCCAATTTATATTTATAGAAATTCCTTGAGGCACGGGAGATATTTATCGTTCAAACGAAGTAAATTATAAAATTGGAAGGAATTATTGCAAAACATGAACTTATTTTGACTTTCACTTGTACATTCACTATATAACCTTGGATGGGCACAATGTCGCGTTAATTACAAAATCTAAATTATTTCCGAAAACTGTGTGTTTTTGTTTTAAAATAAAACTTAAACTATTTTTATTAGTCTTTTTATGCCAATCAAATCCCACGTTTACATATACATCCGTGTAGATTATGTTATTACTCGTTTATTTTTTATATAGTTACATGCATTAACGTGTACTAATAAACAAGTTAAAAGACTCCGGGTAGATATTTTATAGTTCAAAAGTGAAACCACAAAATATGATAGTTTGTGTGACTAATCAAAATAATCCATTTGTCGTAAATTGCAAAGCCTTTTTAGATCAATACAATTTTATAAAATCATCTTTAAAAAGTTTAGAAATAGTACGTTCTTAAATCTGATTAGTTAGGATTAGGATATTTATTGATATTTCTAAAAAAAGAAATCGATAAATAAATAAAAAAGAAAAATAACGAAGTTTGCGTCCGTTCAACAAATACAAATCTAAGGGCAAGATTAAATGATTGAATATTCACAAGATATAAATCATAAATCGAGGAAACAGCTTTTTCAACTATGACGGAGAGGAATTTGCAGGCCACTACCCTTTTTCAGCAAATAAATATGGCCTCATTTTGGAAGGGCGTGTGAAATATGTATGATAATTTAAGACTTATTTGCTTTAGTTCATTCACTCATCTGCATAATGAGAAACGTACATTTCATCAACACATACATGTATATACAACGTCGCGCTAAAGAAGACTATGTCACAGTTAAGTGAATTATGTTCCAAAAAATCATATCCAGTTTTCAAAATATTTATTATTTATTTTTTGTCTTTTCATCATCAACATGTATCTCTTGTCCAGCAGTCAATCTGTAGCAATCTTTTTAATAGGTAATTTGTGTTATGTGTTTTTCTAGCTCTGAATTATAACATTTAGGGGATTTCAATATCAAAATACAAAAATTCGAGTTACCAAATGTAAAGCGGTTGGCCAGACTGCACGGTTGTGCAAGCTGACCTTACCATAGACAGAGGCAAAGGCTAACCTAACCAGCAGGCTTTATTCTTCGTCTCCTTAAACATATCCCTTTTCTTATATATTTTTACCCTGGCTTATCAAGTGATCCATCGGTATCATAGATATTATTATCATGTTTCATAACCATGTATCACGGCCATTTATCATAAACAAGTTTCGTTACAATGTATCATAACCAAATATCAAAACCATATATCATACTCATATAACCATGTTTCATAATCCTGTATCATAACCATTTATCATCACAATGTATCATAACCAAATATCATAACCATGTATCATAATTATCTTACCGTGACCCATAACCATGTATTTCATAATCATATATTTTCATAAAAATATATCATAACCAAGTTTTATAACCATGTATCAAAACCAGATATCATTACCATGTTAAACAGTTTTTTTTATAAACCGGATATAGGTGGGGAATGACACGTTATTTGCAGGATTATCCTTTTGTAGAAATTTTAATCACACAACAACGGGTGTCAAATTCTGTGTTGTAGCTGAAAAATTGCATGTCATAGATGAGAACTTTGCCAGACAAAAATACTGCTTAAAGGGAGGCAACTTTTACGGATAGAGCATACAGTTTCGACGGAGTTACACATCTTGTATTGAAAGTAACCTACACAACTTGAGATAATGAAGAAAAACAGGATCTTAAACCACTTATCATTTACTCGTTTTAATTGATGTTAAGTTTAACTTGATTTACCGGAAGTATATAATTAAGATATATACAAATACGTATATCAAAACAATTATTATGTTATTAAGAAAAGTGTCTTAAAACGTGTTTTTTTTAAATAACGATCTTTGAGTTACGTTCTTTGATATTTTCGTTTAACAGCTGGGCGTTTCGCTACAAGATGGGAAGTGCTGTTGTTGTCTGTGTTGAACTCATAGTTTGTTGTTTATTTTTTCCTCCGTTAGTTTTACAGACTGTTGGAGTGTTTACTGCGCACTGGGTTTCGAACTCAACATGTGACTCGATTGGATTGATGTACCGTTGTTGTGCCGGGCAGGATAATCAGACATGTGAAAGCACACATGGCGGTAAAGTATCATCATGTAGTCTGTTGACACAAAATAAAGTAGTTCTATATTCATAATGAACATCAATTTAATTTTTCTTAATTATAAAAATATTCTCTATTGTAGCTCTAACAAAATTATTTCTAATCCCTTTTCGGGGCTAGGTCCGACACTGAATAAGTCATATGGAGACTTCCTAGATTGACTGGTTGAGGAAGACCTGACATGCCTCTCCATGCATACTTCCAGGAATGGGTTACTTGTAAAAAAATAGTTTACGTTCTGTAAACAAGCTGGGTGTATTCCTCACAAAAAATCCCGAAGAAATTCGAACCTTATGCAGCGAAGCACATTAATTATGTAAATAGCGGCGAGGCACGTAAATGATGTAAATGACGACGAGGCACATAAAAGATGTAAATGTTTGCGAAGCACGTAAATGGTGTAAATTGCAAGGAGGCACATAATTGATGTATATGGCGGCGAGGCACACAAATAATACAAATGGTTGCGAGGCACGTTAATGGTGTAAATCGCAACGAGGCACGTGCACGTAAATGATGTAGATAGCGGCGAGGCACATAAATGATGTAAATGGCTGCGAGGTACGTAAATGGTTGAAAGGGCACCGAGGCATATGGAACGCCATAGCTGCCTCATGTTTTTAATTTCGTATCATTTTTCACTAAAAGCGTCTTATTATGTATAATAGAAGTGTTGGCCTGCCAACATTTTATGGGAACCTATCTTAACGAAGTCTTATTAGGTCAAAAAACATAGTGCTGACTTGTCTAAACACTGTCTTATTATTTCAAAACGTCATGTTATCATGTGCAAATCCGGTGTTAACATGCCGAATGGAAGTCTTAATATGTCTAACATGCACGCCATCTTTTCGAATTAGGATTTCATTATGTCTGAACAAAGACTTGTTTAAATGTGGTGTTGAAATGTCTTGAAATTGTCTTATCATGTGAAACAGTAATGTTATTTTGTCGGAAGTTGGTGTCATCTTGTCCAAATGTGATCCTGGTATATTATGACACTATGGAAACGTATATGGTACACCCTGATGATATGATTAAGTCTACTTTAGGTAAGTCGACTTGTTATGATAACAAAAGAAAATGAACTGTACCGGTTGTCTACGTAAGCTTATCTTTCTGACATAAGTTAATGCAACATTATTTAAAAATATGCCATGCCGACGTATGCTATGTCACCTTATCCACATAATGTGTACATCCTTCTTCCCTTACTTACCTAGTTCTTATAAGCATGTTGATAAAATCTTTTTATTTCATTCCTATATAAATATTTTTGTCAAAAAGAAATAAGTCGACTTAACGTGATAGTCGAGCATCTTGAATATATATTTCCCCTACTTGAACATTTATTTACAGCTTTGCGTCATAACCTACGACGACAAAAAAACTGCTTTTTATAATGCTTCTTACCCCCATAGGATACTTACCGTCTGGCAAAACGGAAGTTATGCAACGTATACAGGTACTAAATTCTTAATTAATCTATATTTTTATTCCAAATGTCTTTTTTTTTGTATTTGTCAATCTTTTTATGTTGCATTATCATCCTCTACACAATTTATAGAAAGTATTGTTATTGAGAAAAAAAGCAACGTTTACTTGATCATAATTGTTAATACTTGAATAAATTACCAGAATGGTTGTAAGTGCACAGACAGTCGGCTCCTACTTTATAGTTCTGACAGATTAGACCACCACTTGAATGTAACAATGAGACATGGGAAACAACAGGCGTGGGCTTAATCTTAAACTGCTACCAATTGCTAATATTAAATGAACTTTCGGGCATTCTGTTTTGATAATATAAGCATCCCTGAATAATATCC